AAGAAATACTATATTAATTTTTTATTTATTATAAACATTTTATTTTTATCAATTTGAAACTAAATTTCCTTCCCTCCATCCGATATTAAGTTTTTCAAATTTGCGTGACGATCTTCAAGCCAATAAAATTTAATTTTTGCATGATATCTGGAAGGGAGATTGTCACATAATTTAGCCAATGAAATCAAATGTCCACTATGCTAATGGTACTAGTAGTATAATATCAAGATCACAAGAAAATTTAAAAAATAATGACAACAATTTTGAGAATAAATATTTAAATAAACAAAAAAAAAATAATGAAACAAGAATTAAATCAATTAAAAGATACAGATGAATTAATATCATTGTCATTATCAAGAGTGAAGTATCATCCCAAAGATAATCTAGAATATTTTGAAAGAAGAAAAATAATTGCACTTGAAAATTATAAGAAAAAGCAGGCAAAAAATAGAGAGAATGATTAAAACATTTAATAACAATTTATCATATACAAAATTTCATAATTTAGAAAATTTAGATGAAAAAATTGAAGTTATTTTTGGTAGTGGTAACAATAATAATAGTAATGAATATGATAATGTTAGTAGTGCCAATTTAAAGACACTATTTACTACTACACTTGAAGATATGCAAATGAATTATATTGAAAGTGGAGGAGGAATTAATTCAAATGAAGCTAGAAGAAGGATTGAATCAATCAAAGATGCATTATATGGAACTTCTCATGGCGGAAAACATCCTAGATTAAAAATGATTGAGAATTAGGCAAAAGAAAACAAGTATGATGATATTTTGGATTGAAAAGAAACTGACAACAATGACAATAACAATAGCAATAGTAATATTAATCTTTAATAATTATAAAGATAAATGAAATTGTTGTGACCTTTTTTATATTATTTGAATGATTTATCTTTTTTTATTTCTTGTTTTGTAAAATTTCAATATATATATTTCTATGCTATTCCTATTCCTAAGCTTAACCTAGCTACTTGCTCAAAAAATTTTCATTTTGTAAATAGGGATGTTAATCAGTCCTTTGGGACTGGGTCCCAAAAAGTCCAGGACTGAACTGTTTCAGGTTCGGTCCTATCATTTGGGACTTAAAGTCCCTATAAGTCCGCGTGTAACATAAAATTTCACATGATATATATATAATTTTTTCAAAATGTCATCATCAATTGAAAATAGCTTTGAAGTCAATGGCGAATTTGATTTTTACAAAGACACTTACAACCAAATTGAAGTGCAACAACAATCACAACCTTTTGTTTTTATTAATGGCAATGATGAAAATATTGATGATGTATTGTATTCAGAAAAATACAATTTATCTTTAAAAGCCACATCAATAAATTCAACATCAACATGTAGTTATTTTAAAAGATCATTTCAAAACCATTATAGTCAATCAACTTCAAACAATGAATTTATCAAGAGATATTTAGAAATGCCAGAAGAAGTAAAGTTGCCTGGATCAGTATTCTACAAGATTTAAAAATCCCAATTATATTGTTTTGTCACATATGGCTTGTGATTTTTTTTTCAATACAAGCAACTAGTGTGTCAAGTGAGTCAGCTTTTAGCATAGCATAAATGCACACCGTTCTTCAAAAATTCTTTATATAATTCATGTTCTTTTGATCTATTTCCTTGTACATACTCTCTAAAATCAATCCAGATATAATGACCAGCTTGTGCTGGAAGAAATGAGATTTTATTTTCATTTAAAAGATTAGTTGCACGAGTATAGCTTTCACCAAGACGTCGTTGATTAGTTGTCAAAAACCAATCAATGTAATTTTCATCTGCAAGTAAATTGGTAGCAATATTTTCTGCTGGAGTTCCAACCCATGAAAGTTCTCTATTAAATAAATTTATTTAAATTATAAAAATATTTTTTTAAAAAACAAAAACAAATAAATAATATCAAACATACGCAATATTTTTTAAAGCTTCTCTCAATGCTTGATTATAAGGACTAATTGAAAACCCTACACGAAAACCTATTTAATATAGCGAACAATATATTAATAGTTTTAATTATGTATATATATATACATAAAATTTAATAAAAACAAAATTTACCTTTTAGACAAAAATCTTTTGATAGTCCATAAATAACATGTGCAAATGCAGGATCGATTAATTCATCAAGGTTATCCAATGATAAAACTGATACAAATGGTTGTTTTGTTCTTGGTAAAGGAGTTCTTGATGAAGCGCTTACAGGTGGACGGCTTTCCAACACATGATCGAATACTGATAGAGCAAAGATTTCATCAAAAATGACATGCAGTTTATGGCTACTTGCAAATTTTAATAAAGCCTCAATCACTGAACGAGGATAACATTGACCAAGTGGATTGTGTGGATTTGTGACAAGTAAAGCACGGACATTAATGGAATCATCATTTGTAGATTTTTGGTATGCATGTTCAAGCCGTTCAACATGAATCTGTTCATCAAATATATCAGCATCAGTGCCAATATGTACAGGAATAGCTCTTGCATGAACTTTGAGATAAAGATCATCATCAATAGCACCTATAAAACATTAATATTTATATTATTTAATTACATTATATTTTTTTCAATAAAGTAATTAATTAAAAAATATCAAAACTATATATACCATAGTAAGGAGTTGGTATTAAAATTCCATCGCCTTCATCACACAACACATATGCTAAATCATTAATAGCACTAGTTACCCCAGTATGAACGGTTACATGTTGAGGTAATATTTCAGTTTGTACATTGAAATATCTATTTATAAGTTTAGCAACATGGGCTCTAAGCTCTTGTGAACCAGTATTATGACAATTTTGTAGATGTCTAGTTTCTAAATCGAATAAACCAGGTAGCTAAACAGATCAGGAATATATATAATTATACATATATATAACCCGCAAAAAAGATAAATAGATTCAAAGCAGTAACAGAAGTAAAGTTATTAATTTCATTTTTCCAAATCAACCAATGTAAATTTATCCAAAGAATTTTTTTAATTTTTTTAAAAAAATTAAATATAATAATTTTGGGTGATATAAACAACTAACCTTTTGTAATAATTCCTCTACCATTAATTGGTTTTCAGCAAGTCCCAAATTGATTATACCATTACTATTTTCAGTTTTGTGATGAGGCTTTGATTGAGCCTGTAAAAAACCTTCTTTTAACAATTGCACCTTATCAGTGCGAGCCTGTGCGCGTTTAGAGAGATAAGCCCAGCTCATGACTACCCCGCGGTTTTCGCGTTTAGGTTTGATTATTTAACAAGTATAGTTAATCTATAAAGTTACTAACACCACTCTCCGAAAAACTTGTTTTTGAGTTGGGTTTATTTCAAAAACAAAAAAAATTTTTTAATCAAATTTTAGCCCTAATACATTTGTGAGACTGGGGTGTTCAGTCAAATATGAAGATCAAAACTATGTATAGTAATAGTAACAAACCCCATTTCCAAAAATTAAATATCATGTGACATAATCAACATCAAAAACGTGATTATTATAAATCACATGACAAAATAAATTTTGAGTAGAGATGTTAATCAGTCCTGAACAGTCCGGTTTGGTTCTGAGACTTAAAGTCCCAAACTTTTTTCAAACAATTAATAAAATATTTATTATATACTTTTATTATATATATATCTTTATTCCTATTTACATGGTATGGCTGAAAAGTAATGAGAATCATTGTATTACTCAATAATATGTGGGTATACCTAAACAAAGTTATGATTTA